TGCTTGTACAACAAGATTAGATAAAATGTATGCGTGACTTACTGAGTGACTGGTCGTTAAATTGGATTTAATATAAAATTGAAAAGATAACACGAGTTTCTATTGTTATAAATTTCTACATGAGAGGTTGTTTCTATAAAATCTGTTTACATTAATGTTAAATGTACAATTTATAAGTTTAATTGAAATGAGAACGTATTAACTGGTATTTATTATAATTTCCGGCAGACTTCTAGGGAGTAATACGTCTTCGAATTGCGGATCCGTGAATAAAACAAGTGTGTTGGCACCTCTTCTTGTTGACCTCACAGAAACTGAAGAATGGAAAACTCATCTGCCACTATCATTGCAATAATCCAGGATCTCGCATGATCCTGAGCACTGTGCAACTAAGACATTAAATTGCACAAGCGTGGAAACTGGCAGCGCACCGATTCCCGTATGCGCTGCTCAGCCCCGCTTAGTTGCGATCCCAAGACCTCCGCGAGCAGCGATCTCGCGGAGACCAGTTTTTGAACGGAGCAGTCTCCTAAGGCCCCGCGGAGTCTTTTTCGTATTGGAGGAGTTGAATCGCAACATGGGATAATACGCGAGCAGGAGATAGACGCCGAGTGTATTTGTATATTTCGCAATTTTGCAGTGTTTGAATTCTCTCTTCAAGATTGAATTTTAAAAATTTTAGTTTTCGAGCTCTCATACAACTGATACCTCATTGTTTTATTTTTCTCAGAATGAATAATTACGCACAAACGTTTCCGGCACATATTTGAACATAATTTTTAATAATTAGTTGATGTACCCTTAATCTCTAATAAATAAATAAATAAATAAATAAAACAATCAATAAAACATTTCATTTGAAATTGACTGTCTATAATCAATAGATATTATAATCCAAAAAAATAAATAAAACATTGTTCCAATAAAAGCCCTGTATCTAAAACGGTTGGCATGTTCTTACGAGTACTTTGTCGCATTCATCATGGGTATGCTTTTGATACGGTTCTTTTTGTTTCTGTCCTTTTTGCAAATAAGATTAATATTGAGAACGTGCAGTACTCTGAAGCTTGTTTCCCTTCCTTTATGCCCAAATTTTATTTTAACCTGTCAATTCTAGATTTGGGTTCAAGTGCTCTCCCTGTCTCGGAATCTTGCCTGATGCATAATGAGTATATATGTCATTGCTATACGTACGCGTTAATGCAGTCTTAAAAGCATTTCTTTGTGTGTTAAATCAGATTTGTTTGTACGTAAATGTTTAATGCAATGTTCTTAGGATTCATTTCAATCACTATTTCATTGCAATTGGTTCCAAAATTATATTTACGTATCGTATGACGATTTCGGGGTTACGATCCGGGGTTATTTATCTGGATATCTTCCATATAAGACCATTGAAAACAGGAATTGCAGGAGAGGGTAAGAGGCGAAGTGGAGATGGATGATAATATTTAACAGGAAGCACCGTAATCGAAAACCCCAGAGAAAACCAGCCGAAAACATATTTTGCCTTCCACAAAGTTTTAAGACTTTGATCTTTGGAACCAAGAATGATGGAATGATCGATCACTCGTCGCCCTAGATCGAAAACGTAACAGTTAAAGTGGAAACAATTATGTCACATATACAAGTTACCCTTCACAATTATGATTATTTTATATACTTTTAATACAAATACTTCAAGCCTATAATACACTTCGACATGTGTAGGGTGACAAAAACATTACGTCCTTTTCTCGATTATCAATTTCCGAATGAAGAAAGCGAGTTGAGCCTACATTGCATATGAAGAATTAACATGCAATGTAGGCTTTCACGGCCGTTTTCTACATAATAATTAGTTGTTTCCGGGTTTGTAGGCCATGGTCCACCGGAGACTGGTCCAGATTGAGGATGGACCAGTCTCCGTTGGACCACGGCCTACAAATCCGGAAACAACTAATTATTTTGCATTTGAAGAACTTTGTGTTGTTCCATACGTACACGCAAATATAAGTCCGGCTTCCCAAACCGATTACTGTATGTTCCTCCTCACGAAGTCGCCTGCGTGTGGGAAAGCGCCAGCGGTTCGCTCACAGCCATTCACCCAAACGTGCTCTATTGAACGCAGGAGCGGTCGGCTGTCGGCGCAACGCGGGTGAATCGTTTATTTGTGTCTGCGCGTTTGCGAGAGAAAATGTTCCTTGCTTGTGGCCGCGCCGGCATGTTCGGTGGATGTTCTTTATTTAACCTAAAGGAGGTCTGCTCGAGTTCTCAGTAGCTTCTATCAGTTGCATAACTTCGTTACAGTAAAAAGCGCGTGGTCATTGAAGGAATGCCGAATCATGGGGATGGGTTTGGACAAAACTTTCTTTGTGGTGCGGGATGAGTTGAGTTGGCATCGTATCATTGTCCATGGACGGTTTCTGATTTCGTTTTGATTGCCACATTCGATCCAATCCTTAGTATCATTCCCGTTTGTAATCTAGCTCTTATGCAGAGTTGAAGACCATAAGGCATTTAAATTGAAATGTATTGTAGACCGTGAATCAGAATCTCACTTTTCCATTTTGACTCGTGTATTTTCTCTTTCAGTATCTGTATCTCTGTGCGTGCGTATGTGTGTGTACGATTTCAATTTTTTCCACATCTGTTTAATGAAATAGGTCCAGAAATTATAGAACACGCATATCTTTTTCAAATGTCATGACACTCGACAAATTCTTAAACCTTTTGTCTTTTACATTCAGAATTATTGTGGTAGTTGTCCTATGAATACGCGCACTTGCACGGCTACTTTCGAGATGCATTGATTGACTGTATTGAATCAGTTTGTTAATGTTATGGGCTATTTGTTAATGACTGGGGTATTTTGTTATTCATGTTTAACGCAGCAGACGTTTTGCCGAATAAGTTACGAATCTGAAGTTTTTGCTTATCCTTAAGGGGGGAGACAGGCAACCCCCAAACGTTTATGCCATACGAAAACTACTCGTATTTCCTATTTTAATTTAATAAGAGAGCCTAGATCAATTGTGCATTTTCGGCCACATTGTTCTGAGACATTAATGTGTAATTGTTTTGTACTGCATACTAATCATTTTACGTAATATCGCATATTCATGGGATTACTACCACAAAAATTGTGAATGTAAAAGACAAAAGGTTTAAGAATACGTCGGATGTCATGTCTTTTGAAAAAGATACGGGTTCGATAATTTCGTTCTGCATCTATTATTACAATTTCATAACGTTAACTCGCACACTCCTATGTAGTGCCTACGTAACAATAACAACGGTTCCATACATGCTAAGAGTCATTTCATTTGAAGCAATGAACGCCACCTATGAGTCGCTCGGAGAAGCTTGTGGTTGTGGACATGCTTTCCCACCAGGCAGCCGACACGCCATCTTGTAGCTTCGGACGGAGATTCATGATATTTTCTCCCTTCTCAGCAAGATCTCTCAACAGTATATCGGGCGCGAAACGCAATGACTTCCGCGATTTCATGTATTATATTTTCGAAAGTACTAACAATTGTCGACCAATATTTGAAAGTTTTTATCAAAGTTCGTTGTATTGGATGCAGTTGTAGATGTCTTCTCATCTCTGCGATTTCATTGTCACAATACAAGCACTTTCAAACGAAAAAATAGAAAACTAATAAAATGTGGCAATTTTCGCTCATTTAAAATATTAAAAACTAGCTGTTATGCAAAGTTTATAAACTTTTTTCACATTCGTTTGAATCGAGCTACAATCTATCGATTGATAGATTTGTCGAACGAATTTGTTTAAGGGATGTAGTCATTTCTTCCGAAAGTTGACTGGTTCCATGATCCTGTAGGTCATAGATTTGAGAATAGAATAAAATGTATCGTATTCGATCGCCTTTACGTGCTGTTTACTTACGTGATCAGAGTAAATTAAATGTTAGATTATTGCATCCAATATAATTACTCTTCCTGTAGTAAATAAAATAATTCCATCCAACGTAATAACGGGTTCGTAGTCAATATAATACCATTAATAACACAGTTTCAAAGAAGCTATCGGATAAGATAAAAGTAGTTCCTGTACTACCACAGAAGGGAAATCAATTTGTGTTTCAAATCTGGACTTTACGGTAAATGACAAGACGATCGCAGCTTTATTATTAAGGATTCATCCCGCCTTTGTTTCAATATTCACCGTACATATAAAAGAATAACACACAAGAATAACGCACAAAGAATAAGACGTGTTCTTATAGTTACAAGCCCAGTTTCACTCCTAACATAACATTACTTTTTTCATATATATATATATATATATATCATATTATATACATATATACATATATACATATATACATATATACATATATACACACACATACGTACATACATACATCAGGGCATATCCTAATACATCAGAACGTCTAGTAACTCTTAAAGGTTTCTTTTACCCTCTTGTAAAATAAATAACTTATTTAATATCTTCAAAAGCCTTTTCCGTTTAAGATTTGTTAAAATGAAGGCTTCATCATTTAATCCAAATCATATCAGAGACGGCAGACATGGTTTGTAAATTCCTATCTATTGAGTATTCTAAATTATTATATTTTAAACAGAGTTTTTTCTATCAAAGCACCGAAGTGACCAATTAGGCTCATAGTAACAAGCTGGAATTTACAAACCTACATGATTTGTGTTGATTACATGCATTATGAATTAGTGTAAACTTGATTTTTATATGGACGTTCCTAAAAGAAAACACTGTGAAACCTGATGAAACGTCCATCTGGGTTTCAGTCCTGCACCTCCACAACGGGACATTTGTGTTGATTTTTCCACAAGACGCGAGTAAATACTCATTTTTCTGCGGCTACCTGGCTAAGCGGCCAACAGCAAGACACAATTTTTTGACCTTTATTAAGCGGTCACCGTGGATAATAAAATTTGTCAATTACTATAATAAACGTAAATGCTGTGGAAATTACTGTTGATGTAATATCTCCTGCAACGAAACGCTCTATCGGATGATCCCGAATAGTGATATTCAGGTACGCTTTTTTTCTCGCAGTAGATCATTTATATTTCAGGCATCATCATTTTAATGAGAGGACGACGTGTTTCCTTCGCCAATTACACATGGTTTTTCTGGTTTGCTTAAATACTTCCTTTCTATGAGACTCTGTTTAGGATTCGTGGTCACTGCTGCGGGTGTAAATACAATCTGTGGGTCAATGTGCATTGCATCTTCCAAGTCTAGTTTACTTGTTCGAATTGGACGAACGCCGACACAGCAAGTTTTTCAAGTTTGGACTTTTTTTTACATGTTATCGGATGACAGTGTCCAGTAACGCAAACAACTCATGCCATTTAACAGTCGGTGTCGTCCGATAAGGGCGAGAAACACTGACTTGTCACTCATCTTTAGTTTAAGTACATCTCCCAGAGCCAGTGGTGTATTTTTATATTAGCCAAAAGGAGATCGAGTAAATACCTTGTACGAGTCATTTATGGTATTCCAAGAAACTAAAGAGAGCATACGTAATTTTATAACAAATTAACCCAGTAGATTTACTACGCTTTCGGCAACTCCAAAACCTTGACTAAGTATGTTCTCTTTAATTAAAAGAGAAAGTAGATTACAACAAAAGCTCATGAAAAAAACTTCTCCGTGTCCCGTGACTTCGGGTTCTACTCTGCTCGAGCCCCTCGGTCGAGGGCCTGCGGTGACGCACCCTCGCCGGAGCGCGTTTTCGGAGCGTGCAGCCCTGGAGATCGGCCTGCTTCCGCGCTCGCTGCCTCTTCGACGCGGTCGCGCGCCGCTCCGAGGCTGCTTCGGACCACCGGCTGCGGTCGCGACGCTGCAGGATTTCCGGTCGCCCCTCCGACGCGACCCGCGAGCTCCTCGCTGTTTTTCCTTCCTCCGCGAGCTTCTTGCCCCTTTTGCCAGCGGCCGCTAATTGGCTCTTTTCCAAGTCTTGGATTTAGATGCGTATTAACTGCTTGTTTCTCAACGCCATTAGAAGGTGACGGGAAAGTGAAAGGGCGGTGGCGTCTTTTACTCTTTAAAAGTAGATTATTCTTAATCTGTATACGTTGTGTAATCCATTTTACCTCTCGCAGCACTTTTTTCGTTTTATTTTATGTTATTATGAAAAAGTCAATCATTTTGGACAGTCAAATAAAGAGTATAGTGTTTATTACCACGTAGCAAGTGTGTTCAGTATTGACCTTGATGAGCGGTGAGAAGAATTGCGGATAAAATGTACTGGGCATTGCGTGTTTTCTTTTATCAACTGCGGTTACATTTCAGACATATCCTTTTGTGCCACAGTACAATACGTCGTCTTGATGGAGTGAAGTTTCATATGCGGAAACTTCTTTTCGTCGTGTTTTTTTATAGTTAACCGAGTTCATTTCACATTTGCTCGAAGGCTGCGTTGTTGTGTGGCATCACGGATTGTTAAGGTAACATTACTACGTATTCTCTTGTCTCATTTCTTTTACGGAGTGTGTTTATTAGATATATCGACGTGAATGTTGTTTTTACGTGGTTATTTTTTATTGTATGTAGTGTTAAGATGTGTTGACATTCCTTTAATGGCGGTCGCTAATTCTGACTACAGATATTACTTCCTCTTGTATTTTGGCATCGAAAAAAGAAATGTGCCGCTGTTCTTAATTCCCGTATCACATTCAAAATCTTGAGTTAAATGTAGTATCTCGGGCATATATTTTGTTTGACTCATCTACCGTCTACTTGTGTAGAGTGGAATAGTTTATGTAGCAAGTAGTGTGTTTGCATTTTTCACATTATTATACTCTGTGGGAAACAATCTATCTGCCATCAGCCTTCGAATTTACATCTACTTCCCAGTTCCCTCGAATCGAGAAGGTGACCAGCATTTCACTCATACTGTATGTTTCTAATATTATAGCATAAAATACGTGTAATACACTAATAGTAAGTAAAATTTTTGTATTTGTCAGGATTACTTAATGTGAGATTGAATTTAGGTAATCAAAGGGGATAAAGGTATGTTAGGTATTGAAGGTCCAAAAAAATATTTGATTTAGTTTTCTTTGATGTGCAGTATTCCGCCAAGTGTTACATTCATTGGTATACCAAGGAATATTTGAAAAATATTTGTTCTATTGTATAACAAAAATAACATAACGAACGTATTTATTTTTAAAACGATCGTTCAATAGTCTCCGCATAAGTATGCCACTCGACCTTTTGCACGTCGTCAAATAAATTCAGTCCCGTTTTTTTAGCAAAAACTTTCTCATTTCTCATTCTTCCATTTTTCGTTTTTAATATCATATATCATATACCATATCATATCATATAATTTCATTTACACGGCCTTGTTGCTTCTGAAGGCGTCCTCACGTCGCGCAAACCGCGAGGCCGCACGACCGCAGCCGGCGACAGTCGCGCCGCTTGCATCAGCGGTCCCCCTCTTCTCTTCTCTAACTCGTACTGGGTACCCCCCCGCCGCCCCCGTGAAACGCAATGCGCGCGCCGATCCCCCCCCCCCCACACATCACATCGGACGGAGATGCGTGGCGCCGCGCACGGGATGCGTTTGTTGAACCATCCGCAACCTTGTCGCGCCTTGTGACGCGTTCTCGCTCCCGTAGACGCTGCTCGCCCGCTCCGGCCCGGCGAGCTCCGCGGAGGCGAACGCGACAATCCGCTAGCACTGATAGCGAGGATGCACGGGGAGAATTTCGCTCACTTGGTGAAAACAAAATTATATAGAGAAGAAATAGATGCTATTGAATTTCAAGCAAGCGTGTGACATATGGGTGAGGATCTTTTTAATACCGGTAGCAGCGGTGACATCTGCGAAGCGTAAAAAAGGATGTTTTGAAATTGTGATTGTGGCGTAGACGGCATGAGCAAACCCTCCAGTATCTTTTCACCCGCATCATCATTAATTAAATAACTCCTCCGAATTTGTGTAAAGAGGTACTCGGCGTGAAAGTTCAACCAACCCATGAAATGTCCTTTAAATACTGCGGGTCTCCTCCCTTGCGCGTGCCATGCGACAGTCCAGTCGATCAATCCTGACAGTAGCCCTTGACACCAGTGAGTCTCCGCGCCAGCTCACCTCGCGCGGCGGCCCCGAAGGTGAACGCGATTGAAAGCAAAAACGCCGCCGTTTGGGTGATGGGAGGGGCAGGGCACGCAAGCCTGTTTATATCGTTCGGGGTGGTGTAACTGCCTGAACTATCCAAAATCACTGTCTAAAAAGTACCTTAAGTTTTTAATTCTAAGCGAATCAGGATATTTTGTAAAAGATGAAAGGACCTTCAAGGTGGTATTTTTTCGGTTTCGTTTCCCAAAATTTGTTTTCTTCGGTTTACTTAAAAAAATTGAAGTACGATTTTCTGGTAGCTATAATAATAATAATAATAATAATAATAATAATAATAATTTTTATTATTATTATAATTATTATTATTATATATTTAAGTGTCCCCTTCATTATTTATTGGGAGTGTATATTGTTAAAGGGATACGTGGTATAAGGGTATTGTTACTTATGACTTATCTATTATGCTTTCTCGTTTTTTATATGTAGCGTTTAAAATTTCCTGTATTGTCAAAGCTGTTGAGCTCTTATGTTCAAAAAGTGAATATATGTTTAAATTTGTTTTACGATAAACGTTTAGTCAGTAAGAAAATATATTTACATTTGCCCGGGAAATGGAAAATTTACGTACGAAACGAAACAAATCACACGACATATTCGTTTTAAAGAGTATTGTTTTTCATTCAAGTTTTATGCTCGTTTCGCCATGCTTTCCAGGAACAGTGTCTGCCATGACGTTGCGCATGCAAAGGGAATGTGAGATGGCCACTGGAGAAGAAGGGTGTGCTGACTTCAGAGGCGCCATCCAGGGCGTGTCGCAGGGTGCGCTGCGCATGCGGAAGGCTCTGCTACCACAGACGCAGGCGGCCGACTGCACTCCCCAGGACGCCTTGCGGCTACCAGAGCAGGAGGCAGCATTACGCGAGACAGTGCGTCAGATGGAACACCTGCTGCAGGAAAATAACGAGAACATTCGTGCTCTACGCCAAGAACTGGATGTCCGAATGCGAGGAGTAGAGAGAAGGCTGGACTTCCTAGAAGAACAATTTAGACGCTTTCAGGGAATAGAAGAAAGGGAAGAGGGTGTAAGGCAGGGGTCGAAAGAGCTGCTAGAGAGAGATGGGGTGAAGACTTCTGCTGAGAGTTCATTGGGCACTGTGTTTCCGCGCGTAGATGCCCTTGTGGCGGAGCTAGAAAAGCGTTTGCCGCTAGGGGTGCCTTGTGCACTTCCCTCTGCTGCCTGTTCATCCTCCGTCTCCTCTCACAGCTCCGACGCTGGCTCTTCCCACCTCCGGCCGCCCTCCCTTAGCGCTGTCGGGGCGACTGCCACCAAACCAGAAGCGGCGGGCGCTCGGAAGGAGCCCGCTTCCAGCTGTCAACCGGCACGGACCACGAAGCAAGAGCGCGAGAGGCAACAGGAGGAGCTCCGATTGCGACAGGCCTCTGCGAAGGTGGAGAGAGCCCTCGCAGCTCTTGGGCTTGCGTGAGGTGGCAAGCGAAGGAAGAGAGGAGAGCGTTCGCCATTCCACTTCTAGATTGCTAGCTCAGTGAAGAACAGAGGGATTCTCCCCATCACTAGCACCACACTGCCTTTGAGAACGCACTCGTATTAGCAGACAATGTGGGTATCCAGGTAATGATATGAACGCCATCAAAGACACTATTGTGATTCGTAACTGCTCGTGATGAATTAAATTTGTCATATTGTAAACGGCTGGTTGGAGTTGTTAGTAAAAGACGTGAAGAAAGAAAAAAAAAGATTCAACAACAAGAAGTTTTAATATAGTGTTATTTCTTTACTATCGAAGTTAAACTTTTTATTTAATTATTTCGTCATTTCGGGACGTTACTAGTTGACGAATGAAACCATTATAGACAGTTGCTTATTTCCGTGCTATGTTAATATTCGTTTCACATCAACTTCGAATATCCTTTGTCAGTATAATGTGCACTTAAACAGTGTATGAAAACATCAAAGCTTAATTGTAAATCCCCTTCACTTTTCTAGCAGCACTCATTCATGAGTGTGTGGGCATAATGTGTATTTTAGTAGAAAGTATTAGGAAAATACAATTTATATGAGTTTAACCTGAACTAAAATGTTTTAAGCGAATATTAGTAATTCTTTGTGTTGTCAAATATAATGGAGTTTATTGGATCAATAAGTGTGTATTTGCGTAAAAGATTTTCAAGGAAATAAAAATACATTAATATATGAATTTGATTCTTACTCTATAGCTGTACCATTCGCAAAATAACCCTCATGACAAACTCACCTTTGGTGAAGTCTCGGAGGCTTCCCCCACCCTACGTCAGATGAGATTTCCCCTCTCGGCATCGAGCAATAGCGTAGGCAACAAGGAGAGGAGTTTGAGATGCAGCATCACTAGTCATCACTGCCCTCATCGTCATAAGAGAAAATCGCACCGCCAGGAGTGTCTAAAGAAATGGCGAATTCATCAGTGTTCGTCCATCACATTATATGAATTAATACATGTCGCCTCTATTCCCTGGACATGATCGCAGTATTTCTTCTTGTTCAGCGTTCTATTGTGCACACGCTTCTTTGCAAAACCTTTCTTTTTCTTTTGAGGATGCGCCGATTGTTTCCGTAGCCACGCGCTCTTTTATAAATCCACAAAAGTTCTCTTGGATTTAGATCTGGATGGTACGGTGGAAGACAGGAATGTTTGCCATGTTCAATGATTATTTGATCATAAATTGAACAAAACGTACTGCAACGTACATTAACTGACCGTGCGTTGGGCATGCCAATTTGTAACGTGCTTCTTATTCACGATTAGATTGCCCCCGCGTGAGACAGACATTTTGTAACGGTTTATGATTCTTCTAATTTAATTTGCCTTGCTCGTAAATTGAGTACTCTTAATTACTCATAATTTGACTAGCTCTTGTTTCTTTAAAATCTTGCGTGAGTTCAACATACAACATACGTCACCTTACGTGTTGCACTTAGACGTGTGACTGTACAGACATCACGATTCCTGGTACTTCTGTGGAATGTACTGCTTACTGAATTGATGGGAATTCACTGGAATATCAGCTTTTCTTTTCAAACAACAAATAACATTCATTGTAAAATTCTAATAACATGTTTCGAACTCGTTATTGATTAATGATTCTATGGCCTTTAATATTGTTAAACCACACGGCTTTGATAAAGTTCAGAAGCTTACAGAATGTCTTCTCGGTTGGTTAGATGTCGCAGAATGTCTTCTCTAAAAGGGGGATGTTCTGGTTCCTCCGTATGAACCTATTGTCTGTGCGAACTATAAATGTTTCCTGACCGTTGATAATTATACAGTACACTATTGGAAAAATCGCTACATCTGCTTTATAGTATAATAGCATCGCCACTTTCCCTCACTAGGTTTCGGGTGAAACTTCTATTCGCGACTACTATTTCCTTTAAATTCACAATTTAAAATTCCCACTACGGAACTAACCTCCTCTAAACCCACAAATACGAAGTCTAAATGTTTTTAAATGCAAAATTTCTACACGAATGTAACTATCGTTTAAAAAATGCAAACATTTATCCACTGAAAACTCAAATGAACAATACTGTTTAGCCTATACTAATAAGTACTGATCAAACATTAACCCACAACGTAAATCTACAATGGCAAAATTAATGTTATAATGTTTACTACCACCTGAACTGCTTGGCCACTTTCTTGAGAATGAGAGTGACGGAGAACAAAACTATCAGCAATGTAATTTTAGAAAAAGAAGGGGAGAAAATACGTCCTAGATTAATTATATTCAAAAACCCACTATTTAAGCTTAACTTTTGGAACCTTGCGCATTATTGAGTCATTAATGAGTACATATCCACGTCGTGATCGAGAACGTAGGTCTATGTCGCTTGAAATTGTCATTGGGGAGAAGAGAAATTGGTGAGAGTGTAGGGAACCGTTCTTCGTAGGATGAGGACCTGTAAAACAATAAGAAGACACTTTCGCTCAATGATGACTCAGCATTTTGGGGAAGGGGGTTCCTGATGTGCATGCGTTTTGCAGAGTTTCTTTCGTGAGAAATTATTGGCAAATCAGCATTCGATTTCGTGAACCTCGGTATTTTAATTTAATAAGTTTTATTGCTCGGAGTGTGAATGAGGCTAAATAGCACCCAATATGCATGAGAAAGGGTTGTTAGTGTGCCACTTGCGTGTGAGATACGCTCATTGGATTGTATAGGTTATACCCTGTGCAACGTAGATTATTGAATGTTAATTTTCGATTTAACACTGGCATATACCTCCTACATCTCTTACGTTGTTTATGTTTTTCACTGAAGTGCATTTTATTTTAAGAATGTTTGGGTATATATTTTACTTCTTGCCGTTTGCGATCTTTGTTTCGGGAGTTCTGTTATTCCATTTGTGATATTTATTTTGCCAAGAGTCGTTAGAAGACTGATAACATCATTTGTGTTAAAATTGAAAGAAAGTTATTGGTAGATCTGACATTCCGTCATGCGAACTGTGGAGCTTGTCACATGATTCTCATTGCAAAATCGATTGTCAGAAAGTCCGTATGCATACTGAGATGTAATATACCAGAAGTGTGTAAACAGAATATTGCTGTAATAACAACAACAACAACAATAATAATAATAATAATATAATAATGTAGACAGTATTGCCAATGACTTTATGTAATTTTGGTGTGTGATGTCCGAACGTGTTAAGGATATTGGCACCAGTAGAAACCTGGAATATTCCAATAACATCATTGGTTCTGTGTGAAATGCTATTTTTTGTGTGCGTTATTTTCTAAAATGACTCCACCAAATGTCATTTATGGAGAATTGTATCTTATACTTGTGCCTATTCCGTATGTACGTATTGGGGGATTTCTTGTTCAAAATTGATGCCGAATTTGACATTCATACTCAAGGGAGACAATCAGCTGAATTTGAGAAGTGAAATTTCTACTATTAACAAATTCTACATGTATAGTGTATAATCAATTATATTCCAAAGCAAGCTATCAAATCTATAGAATATCTATAGAATCGGGGCAAATTATAGAATTCGGGGCATTGTACCACAACATGCTTCTTAAAAGTTTACTACATTATCCACATGAAAAACCATTTTACCAATCCGATGAATAGTTATTTTTTGTAGCTATAGAAGCCTAGATATTTGGGAGTTTGCATAGAAAATTACGCATCCTCACCTTCCCAAATTTTATATTTATTTTTGTGGCACTAGATGGAATAAGATGGCAAAGTGGTATGCAAAATATGCAATGTGGTCTCTGTACCTATTATCTACAGGTTCTTTTAACTATTATTTAACGATGTAAAATGGCAATACCCAATACATATTATTATTATTATTGTTGTTGTTGTTGTTATTATTATTGATCCCGGGTCAATGACCCACTTCTCCATCCGGTTTTTGTCCAGTTTCCCTGATACATTGAGCAAATTCTGAGATGATCTCTTTCTTTCCTTCTGACTGTTAATGTAGCTTCGCTATGCGCACGTTTTGTTGAACTCTCCTGCGTGTAGTGGTAATGCAGAAAAATCATATCTGCAGTTCGTTTACAGTTGTAAACAAGTTTTCAAAAAAATCAGGAACGAAAATGCCTAGTTTTTAATGCTACTAATCTTTCGCTTTTTAAAATTTTATTCATCTTTAACTTCTAATTTATCTTTTAACTATTTACAGTGAAATTATGGGAAGGGATTCTAGAAGTCACGAAAACGTGTGCCGATCTTACCCCCCATATGTCACATACAGTTTTTACTATTTTTTTTGACGAAATATATCTAGTCGAAATAAATATGTTTGTTGGGCGTATTTTATTACCTTATTCCCTTTCTTTACTATTTTGCAAACCGAAGAATTGGAGTGAATTTTTGTTTGGTTTCAAAAGTTATGTGCTTTGTATGATTACGTCTCATATGTTTATTTTATTATAGATTGTTAAAGTTGTTTCTCTTGTTTCAGGTAAGCAGTGATAGTTCCGGTGCATGATGAAAACACTTAAGTGAGTAAAGTTATTGTATATTTTTTTTATTTGTGTAATATCAGTTTGATATGGAGTGTTTCAATTTCTGTAATGTTTTCGTCGTTCTTTATTCCCAGGCTGACTTGAAATAGTACAATAGTGTGGTTTAAACTGATATTGCATAACTATACCGATGTGTGGTGTATCATTTAAATTTAACCTTGAATTAATGCCAAAAGGAAGAATGCGCCTTCCTATGAAGATGAGCTGCCTAGTGGAACTGATGTAAATAATAATTTCTAATGTAATGTCCTAATGTATAAATGTCATATTTTAATGTGTAATTTTTTTGCTTGCGTGATTATTTCAGGAATACAATATGAGATTATAAATGTTGATCAATTATAAAATACAAACATAATATAATATCTGAACTTTTGAATATATTCTCAATATTTTGAAAAAGTCTAATTTTAAATAGTTCTAATCCACTTACTAACTTTATTTATGTAGCATTGAATGAGTTCTACTGGGAACATTTGTTGTATGAGCAAGGATTTGTTAGGAGTAAGGTCAAAGTAAATGTATGGTCTATAAAATAATTTCCTTTATTTATCTTCGATGGTGGCGTGCTGACAGGATGGCAATGGAAAACAAATTGCTCTAGAAATGTTGTGCACCACGACATGGATAGCTTAATATTGTGTAAATAATGTAAACAAAACCAATTAAGTAATATTTTGAATCATAGGCCCTTACTTTTCTTTAAGTAGATTTAATTATAAAAACAACAATTTTCACTCGAATTCATACAACTATGTACAATGAGTTCGAAATAAAATTGTGATGAGCGTTTAAACCATTTATAAGTCTAGTGCAATTCACTCTTTCCTAGTGCATTGTTAATATGATGGGATATCACTCTGCTCACAGTTTCCTCACTTAAGAATCTGATGGATGGCACGTTCCCAACTTCCTCCGAGAGAAAACTTCAAAACCCCATTACAAATTTCAAGACGCATCCGAAAGACATGTCTCCCCTGCGACCCACCTACGCCAGTCGGGTAGCCAGACAGAAAAACGGACCAATAATGTTACGAAGGAGACAGCAGAAAGTTGCATCTTGCCGCTAAGAATGTCCATTCTAAATTTATTTCATATTCATTCTGGTCATCTGAAGAGAATAGTCATTTGCATTCTATCGTTCTTCAAAGAAACGCCAAGAAGTTCTAAAAAAATGTAAAAGGAATTTTTTCAGAGAAATTATAATATGAAAGTTGATAGAGGCATTTTCTTCCTGTTTGGTGTTTTTGTGTGTAGGGTGGGGGTGCATAATCTCGTTGGGGGATTTCCTCAGTACGTTCCATGCTGGTCCCAAGATTCACACACTCCTTTTCAAGCTTAATTTCTGCTTTAAAAGTTCGCCATCGGAGAAACAACGGCAGCGCCCCTGCCAGCTGACGCCGTAATTCTCGCATCATTCGCGTGTGGCCGGCGCCGCTGAGCAATGATCAACGCTGCTACTGCTCCTCCACTTCTAGCTTGCGCAGCTCGTGGCACACGCGGGTGCGTGGCACGTGCGCGAGAGTGCGTGCGTACGCCCGTTTTCCCTTTCGTCACCTGATGAATATTACACCACGCGGCGGGCGGGACGCGGACGCTACCCCCCCCCCGCGCGTGCAGCTTTTTGAAGCGACTCGCGCGACGCTGACGGCAACGTCGCACCAGTGGATCGAAATAACGCTAGAGAGATGCGTAACGCCCCCTCCTGTGATTTCCAAGCAGGCATTTCAACAGACGTAGATAAATTTGGCAACAGTTAACAGAACACAGAAAAAGTTTAAAAGACTGAAAATTTATTTTAAAGAAACTTTGTTTTTCAATACGTTTTTCGAAGTTTTTGTTTACTTTGTTTTTAATTTGCGTTGTATATGTATGCCAGTTTTCGTACAGAATGATATGAGTTTTCATACCACTTTGCAGTAACCCGTATTATGCAATTTGATGATGAAGCGCAATACTTCTTATTTAGGATGTTATTTTTGACGTTATTTTACAGAGTTGAAATTGTGCTATTTATTGTACTATAATTAGCAATTAAATCAAGGTGGTAGAACGTTTTGTAATCAGGAATGGTGTTTCTATATATCTAAAAGTTTTAAATCTACAACAATATATCTATTATTTTATTATTCATCGAGGGGCAAAGTGACCGCCAACCACCACCTCTTGCGCCTTTTCCAGTTTTTTGGTGACGCGATTAATTTTATCGGTTTCTTTGCGCGTTTCTCCTCGCCTTTCAGCCCGCTTCGGACCTGGCGCGATGACGACGACGCGTCGCCTGCGTCCTCCGCCGATTGGGCAACGCGCGCGTGTGTATGCGACGCCGGCGGTCGCGGCCGCGGCCGCGCGCGCAAACACGTCGATGGGGCGCTGCGGCGCCGAGGAGCATCGTCGCGAAGGTTCCGAGATGGAGCTGCCTGCCTCCCGGCCCGCGTTCACGGCCGTCGAGGCGCCGGGAAGACGTTCATTGCGGGAGGATCGCAGGGGCTAAAGTGACACATAACAGACACGGTGTTTTAACACTGCTTCAGCATGCGAGAAGGGGTCATTTGTTGTCTGGCGTTAAAATAATATGTATGTAGGAATTATGCCTTTTTTAAAAATTTTGATCGTTTAGAGAAATTAACTTTCTGAAAATTTTGTCACCGGAAATACAATCTTTCAGTATTTGGGTAATGTATGGAACATTAATTCAAATGTTCGAATTTGATAATTTGTCTAATTTTGAGTCAGTATCGTCTGACTTTATACTATTTACCCGAGAAAGGTTGAGGTTACAATCACGGTGTGTGAGGGAGTCTACTATCATTGTGCAAGATATATTAAAATACGTTTGTCTTTCAAACGTGAGCAGAGGCAACTACCCTGGCTAAGTGTTATATTTCACGCCGTGTGTTGTAGTAATGTAGTACGAATAATTGGGACATGAAACCTCATTTCATTCTATATTAGAAAACTGTAAAAGGAAGAATAAGAGCTCAGAGATTCGCCTGAAGGTATCGCGGTAATTCGCGGTAGCGGAGGCGGAGCGTCACTTGAAAGGTTCCGAGACGATGCTGCTGCGCCGCCTGCGACCTCCAACCCGGCCCACTCCCAACTGGATTCACGTCGACCTCTGCGGGTTGTTGTGACGCACGTCTACGTTCCTCCAGAAGCTTCTTCCACCTTCCCGCCGTGACCTTTTCGTAACGGTGTGAGAGTTCGTGACCAATCTGTATCCCGAAATGAGTAGGTAAAGAACGCGCGATGTATCTTGACATTTTCTGCAATCGTTCTTTTGCGCATTTGCTGCCCTGACAAGTAAATTTGCAAGCTATAAACAAATAGGATCTACGACGAATATACAATGAGTGCGGGTCATGTTACTGAATTGTTGATGTAATAAAAATTAGATAAATTTGACTGTCAACGAATGTACTGGATTTTCTAAGGACTCAGACTTTCCGTATATTTATCATTGAATTATGATTTTTGTTTTACTTGACAGAATAAGTGAGGATGTGGTCTCAATGAAAAATACTGGATATTAGAAAAAAATGCAGTGTTAACTTCAGCTTGAAAACCGCTGCGGCTTAATATTTTACATGTTAATTTTTCCACCTTGAGTTTCCAATGCTACGCATCAGTAGCTACATGGCGATGCAGAAATTGTTAGAACGCATTTTCTGTTTTTCAATTTGCATGACAAATTGCCTCATTTTTTATGCTGCCATACCAGTTGTTTTATTGTGCTTTCTCGACATGAATACATGACTCTTTCAAGTTATTGCGCCAAGGATCTTGATGTTTTCTCTATTGATTTTTGACTAAGGCGAATTATGAATGCAATGCGATGTAGAGCCGAATAGAACTCGAAGCGTAGATCTTGCATGATGTGAACGTAATTGTTGCTAGACAGCTTTACAAGACTGTTTGCCCAGTTGCCATAGGGGACTTGGCGAAAAAGTTAATGGGTATAACCGCGGTGCATCAGAACTCGGGCCTTGTCATCGCGGAAGAGAGAGCGGCCTAGCAGATTGTGGAGGAACGAAGAGCAGATTTGACGTTTGCCCGGTTTCGGGCCACTCCGTCGTCGTCGCGAAAAAAGGAAAGCACGCCTTGGACTGTCGCTAACAAGGCCACCATCGCCGATTGAGTCACTTCTGATAGCGAGGAGCACCGGTGAGTGGGCGTTGAAGAAACTGCCATCCTCCGGGCCTCAACTCGTAGCGTCCTCCAGTCTGTCCCGTTGTCTGCCTCAGTAGACGAGTAACTGGCGCTGGGTGCTGTACACTCGCATGCGACCTTCATGTATCTAATTTTTTTTATATTTTGCTAATCACTTCATCCTTGTGCTTAAAAAACTAATGCATAAAAATGTCTTGTTTTGTTGTACCCTTTTTTGGTGTCCTTAAAATTTCTCATCGCGTGGCGTTTAAACAACTACGACGCCAGAAATGTGCTAGCCGAATTTTCCTGCGAAAGCTGAGAAGCCGTATTCTAGGTAGTTGCTGTCAGTTGTTCTTGTACTCCTTTGAAAGTGTTTTGAACCACGCTCAATGTTTACACACTTTCTTACATTTCATCTCCGACAGTAGGTTTATAAATGTAGGGAATGTGAAATATTACAAAGGACATTCTCTGATTATGGTCAATGCGCAATTTCACATTTCTTTTACTGCTAGGCAACGCTGTGATACACTTAGCTATACACACCATGTTTCGATATTTTTGCTACGTCTTCCAAGCACATTCTGAAGTTAACTGCGATGTGTAACTTCATTTTTGAACTTCAAAAATTAGGGTTAAAACGTCTATCCCAAGTCCAGTGCTTCTTCATTTGTTTGTTATCGATTAACAAGAAACGGACTTTGCAGAAAGATGACAGACACATCTTTTGTACACAAACGGAGGCGGTAGATTTCTCCAGGGTCGTCCGTTGCGTAACGCGACTGAGGAAGCACTGTGGGGTCGGGCGCGGCGGGCGGGAGGGCTACACGAAGATGTTGTCGAGCAGGTCCTTGGTGATGAGGCGGTGCGGGCGCGTGGGGTCCGGCCTGGGCGGACCGTAGAGGCGCGCGTTGATGGCGTAGAGCGCGCGGCTCAGGTCGCAGCGCACGTTGAACCACCAGTCGCACACGAACACGGCCTGCGAGAACTGCGTGCCGTTCGGGCACAGGAACGTCGCCTGCGAACACCACAAACGCTTCTTTAGAAATGGGGTGGCGTGGGCCGAGACCTGGGTGAGAGAGGAGGAGGCTGGTGGGAGTGAGAGAGTGAAACTAAATGTAATCAAGTAGTGCCTTTCCTAAACGATTTGACTAAGATTCCTAACAATGTGGAGTTTTCATTATTGAGCACGAATCTCATTAAATATATAGTTCTTTTATGTATTTTGTTTCTAAATTTATTTAATTACTAGTCTCTGAAAATAATCATTGCACTTGCTGTCCAAAGAGCACAAATCAAAACTATTCTTCCGAACTCGTTTGAAGGGAAAAAGTAAACGCTGGAAAGCATATGTAAATTCTCGAAGTAATGGTCATTTGTGAAAGCGACTGTCCCAATGGGCAAAAAAAAGTCCCAAATCTTTCCAGGAAAGAAATAGTACACAGTCAATATTAAACGAGATATTACAGAGTTCCGGCAAACTTTGTGGCCTTAGGATTTTGTACGAAGCTTTTGTTTCTGTGGCTTTTTTCTCACCGACTTTGAATTTGGTCGCTTGTGAGGATGAAGGCGTGGGGCAACTCACCTGTCTGCCATCGATGTCGCAGTAGTGCCAGGTCTGGCAGCGTGTCTCGGGGTCGGCGAAGAAACCCGGCCAGCGCTGGTCGTCGCAGTAGAAGTTGGTGTAGGGAACGCGCGCCAACACGGGGTAGTCTGTGCCTGGTCGACCTGCAGCAAAACGCGTGCTTAAAAGGAGTATATGCAGGGGAAAAGCTATTACAAATTTTCAGTCGTTTCGCGAATTTCTGGTAATTAAATGCTGAAAATTATTTCCGAAAGTGTTTGCGTTGAGATGGTCACAAAGTGTGCGATTCCTCCTTTGAAATCTGCTTTGATTAAAAGTGTATGAATGGAGTTCTACCCATAGATGAAAATATAGGAAGATGTAGAAAAACCTAGCAGTTGGTTTAAAATGCAATTCAGGTGCATACATTTTCTTACCTTGTCATTTGCATTTGTTTTCTTAGAGCTCTTACGGCCTTTATCAGTGCATGTAAATAGCTAAACAAACAAATCACGCAAGGAGAGCGCTCTAAGTCCACTAAAAGGTGCCTCTGCATATGCTAAATATAACGTGAACCAGGGAACCCAAAAGATTTTCTCTCATCACGTGGTCGTAACGACACATCACACCCGGATGTTCAATTACAGTTTTGTTAATTCGTCAGCACTTCATTTGGGAGTGATTTTGTTTCTTGATTAGAATTAATTGCGTGTGATAGTCATGTGCTCACCCGTCAGTGTAGTTGAGCTCTTTTAAGTTCAAAGTTATTGAATATTTAAATGTTCCTCTATACACACGTCGTTTCATGTTCAAGGAATTGCATATTTCAACTTTTAGTTCATCAATACAAGCGACGCGAACTTCTATATATTTATGTGCCTTTAAAGTAACGCATCCGTCCTTGTGTATTTGGATCTGAATGCAATCCGGTTATTTTGCCGCCTTCGTGGGTGCATTCCAAGCGAGCCTGCGGAGGCGAATTTTCGTCGAGGGCCTCGTGCGTTCGCCACGCGCCGTGTCGTGTCGTGTCGTGTCGTGTCGTGCGTCGCCCCCGGGCATGCACGAGGCCGGAACCGCGCGGGCGGGGCCTTGGCCGAAGGCGGCGCCTTGCACGGGACCCAGAGTAACTGCCTAGACCACTGCCAACTCACGAGCTAAAACATGCAATACACTTACTATAATTGACCTATTAAGCCCGGAATATCAAACTAGTGAAAATAACCGATCGGATGGACTTACGTGTTGCCTTCATCGGGGAGCTGGTATTTTATTCTGTCACTTCTTCAACTATTGATGTGTTAGTTTGCATTCCTTTGTCTCGGCTTCCGGCCAAATACGTCTTGTAATTGTCTTTGGAAATTAATAACAATTTGAAAACAATTTTTTGGTTAACTTATTTAATGCTAAGGACGGCTAAGAAATTGTCAACTGATAACCTGGTTTGGAAATACGATATATTCCAGATATCGGGACTCTGAAAAACAATAACTTCTATCTGAAAACAATAGGAGACCAAGAACAAGTGATAGATTATTTTACGTATCTAATTTAATTAAATCGTGTGTTTCTCAGCGTAAAAATACTATTTTCAGAAAATAAAACATTTCTTTTGTTATTAGTCGTTTAGGTGTAAACATCACTTTCAAAAATGAAGCTAATTTTCGTTACCACTGGAGAGGCGAAGAATTGCTTTGTAAGGGTTGGTGTAGCACGACGTGGGGATGCATTTGCCCCACTGCCCGTCGGTGAAGGTGGAGGCGAGTGGTGGGGCGCTCGCCGCGGGGCGACAAGGCGTGGGCGCCGCATTGTCTCGCACTCGCCGCACTCCGCCCCGCGCGGGGCCCGGACCCCGGGCTCTGGACCTTGGCTTACTTGTGCGTGCGCGGCCGCTGTGGCAACTCGCCTGGTCCCAGCCCCGCC